TTATAATCTTAAATGCATAAAATATGCATAAAATATGCGTAAAATATGCATAAAAAATGCATTAAATATATTAACAACAAGAACATATACAGATTGAAAAGAAAATACGTAATAAATTTACTAATAATAATACTTTACGTTTTGTTATTAGTAAATTTATGTATTTTTTTTCTTATTCTTAGCTCTATATTTTGTATGGCTATTTGACGATTGATTTCGCGGACCCGAATGTACATCCGTGTTCAAACGAGGCATAGTATTACGTCGCGTGGTAGCCCGATTGGTTGCATCTGTGATATGACTATATCGGTGAGCTTGTTAAAAATCAATTTATCAGCGCAAAGGCTTGACCCGTGGTATTTACTGAATTCGACATTCATAATTCGCGCAGCCTTAATTCAATAAGTCGTCTGACGGGTACATGCATCTACCACGTGAGATAAAATAAACTGTACCCTGCAGTCTATCTCGGTTATAACAGGCATCTCAGCAGTTTCAACACCTAAATTATTGTACTTAGTTTGTAAACGATATGCTACATATAGCCCGCGATATATTTTAGGCCTTCGTCTTCGATGGTGTTTACAATATTTATTTCCTGTAACGTTTAAGTTCTTCTTCCTCTAAACTTGGATAAGATGTAGATAAATCACAAACATTATTATTTACATCGTCATCTATGCAAATATTACACTTACAAAAAAGATATCTACCTATCCAATTTCTGTTTCTCTTCGTACTTCTGCAACTTCTTTTTCATTGCTGCTAATTCCAATTGCAGACTTTTGTTTGAAAGTATAATATAATGAAATTAAAAAATTACTACATATATCTTGCCTAATAGTGTATCAAGTAAATGAAATGGCATTGCGGGTTCAAATTAAGAAGTTTTTTTACTTGCAACCTAGAATAGAGACAATTAAAAAAACTATCCTTAAGTACGTAGAACTTACATGGAACCGACATCATTAACAGGGCTATATACATCCGTCGCAGCAATTGATCATGTTGATGTTGCATCAACAATAGCATCTTCTAGCATATCATCGATGTGCTTTGATGCATCCAACCCTTCATCAGTGATAAGTGATGTATTTTCCAGCGACTCTTTAACTAAATGTAATGTGGGAATTGCATCAATATCGCAACTTGCGTACTTTTACTGGAGAATATTCCAGTAGTCGTTGTTGCCGGGTCTTCTGGAAGCTCGAACGTTCGAAATGTATCGAACATATCCTTTCTGAACAAAATAAAATGTATCTCAGACTCATGTTTGACTGACTGCAATTGAAACACATAATAAAAAAGAGCACTCGTGATCGAGTGCGATAATTCGTTTGTTCATAAGTAAATGAATCAAAAGTAATAAATTCTCAATGCAATTGTTAGGGTATCATAAAATATTTTCATAGTATCATACTTTTGAAAACGAAATCATTTTGTTTTTTGCAGACTTCACGCCACTTTGCAGCAATTGCGATGTCTTACGGAAATCTAAAATATTGTTTTTTTTTTCTGGCACAAATTTCGTTTTCCGAGAATTGTTTGTGCATCCTTTTATTGCACATAAAGTCATTTTTAAATATAATATAATAAAATCGTGAACTAGCAGGTTACCGCCGTGCAGATTTGACAGACACGAACCACTCCGAATATAGTCGAAGGTGACCGTATGTGACGTCATGCGTGACGTATGCTGGCTTCCTGCGCAGTGGTCTCCCACCAGACGAGCATACCCTTGTATTTCTACCATGTGACATACCAAATAAGAATCAATATGCTTCGCGAAGCGAGATATTATATTAATCACTAAAGTAATGACTTTTTTGGGTTAGGAAATCTGTCGCATCGCTACGGTTACATTTGCGTATTCGTTACGCATGCGCGTCTAGTTATACTTCTACTTCTCACCACAGTTGAACGCACGCAAAGCTGGCCATATTGCAGGTTCTACCGTACAAAGAGTTATTTTCTTTGAATTATAAAAAAAACGTTGCGACAAAAGTATAAACTAAATATAGGGTCATAAAATATGAATACATCAGCTACAATAACATAAACTACAAAAATTGATAACCATGTTTTTGTAATCATATAAAACAATTACATGCCTATGAAATTTATACATCGCGACCACGACGTTTCTATTTTCTTGTATTAATTACACGAACAGAATGAATTAGATAATCTATTAAATAACGCAGTTGAGTCACACGGATCACTATGTACGCCCTATTATTGCTATCTATTAAATTTTTCGTGTAATTACTTACAAACAGCCGGTTGGCCAATTGCGTATAGGCCCATATATTGAGTCCGATTATCTTATTTTACATTTGTGTGCGTATCAAAAGGTTCATGGGTATAATAAAATGTAATTGTATTCAAATCGATAAAACAGCGATACTTCAGAATTCGATCGTCGCGCCAGCATCCCCCATCCAGCGTTGCATAAAAAGTAAAGAATAAAAAATTAAATAGCACACAATTGCGAAGTACGCAACTGTGATATCTAGTTTATATAAATTTTGTGAATTATTTAGTTTATTATTTATTTCAAAAATTCTTAAAGAATATTAAAATTATTTCGTAAATTAAATTCCGTGCTTGGTGTTAAATTGAAGATTGGCAAAAAAAAGGAAATCTAAAATTTTGTTTCTTGAGAGACATATATTTAAAAACAAAATATAATTCAGGATACATGTATGTACGTATGGAACATTCATTATAAGATGTGTATATACAAAGTTTATCAGCATTACGTTTTTTCTTTATATGTATATTGATTAGAGATCGAACTTAAAAGAAAGCGATGCTTCAATGATGTGACATCAATCATATTTTAATTATAGGTTTCTAACTATAAGCAGAAAAGTTTAATTAACAACCATAATTAAGATATAAATTACCGATACTTAAGATATAAAAATCATAATATTTAAGATTTTTGTTAAAATTGGCTCAAGTTTTATCAATATTATGAATTGATAACCGGCAGAAAATGTGCGATATATGTTTATGTATACTTAAGACATTTTGTATATATTTAAATTATAGATGGCATTGTCTTTTTATAATGTACTTAAGTTCTTTAAGTTTTTTAAATATAATTATTTTACATATATATATTTCGATTTACAACAATTTACAACAATTAATTCTAGTCATCAATTTATATAACACATTCTTAATGTGAGAGCCAACTAACGTGACAACAAGCATTTAATGATTTTACGTAATTGCTTTGATATTTTATACGCTGTAGAATTAATAAAATCGAATAACGGAACAAACAAAGTCGTTCAAGATATATTAGATCTATATTTGAATTAAATGACTATTGCTTAATCTACAAAATAAATTTAATACCTTCGTTATATGACATTATTCACGTGTAAGCATTGTCATCAATAGATACAATACATTTTTATATTTAATACGCATTTGTATACGAACACAGTTACACTTACTTTTTAAATATAATTTTTAATTTAATTAAATCTTTATGCACTCATAAATTACAGTCGCATAATAATTTATCTAGAAAGACGTATGCAAATAATTATATATTAAAAATACATTTTGTATTAAAACATGTAAAAAATATAATTAATAGATCTTAGTATATTTTTATTTATTTTAAAATATCTTCCACGCATATAAATGAAATATTGTTTTATTAAAAAAAAGAGGTGCGTAAATTAAATCTTAAAATTAAAACTAGTAATATATGCTCAATGGATATGTTAAATGCTAATAAGCAAGTGTACATTTATCGTAGATCTGTTTAGTTTCTTTGTATTTTTTTTCTTCTTTTTTCGCTTTAATTCTAAGAATTTGTAATATTAAATATATTTTATTACCCCCGTTAATTATTGTCTGTTATTTCTGTTGGAATTTTCTATGGTTATATTAATAGACATAATTTATATCATTATAATATTAAGATTTCTACATCAAGTACGATGATAAAGTATAGTTTCATTAATTTATCGAATAGATGTACAAGAATCACATATGCATGCTAACTGTATATATGTATGTGCGCGCGCGAACACACACACACGCGTGCGCGCACACACACACGCGCACATACAAACACACAACACACAAACCAAACACACACACACACGCACACACACACACACACACACGCACGCACGTACGCACGCACGCACGCACGCACGCACGCACGCACGCACGCACGCACGCACGCACGCACGCACGCACGCACGCACGCACGCACGCACGCACGCACGCACGCACGCACGCACGCACGCACGCACGCACGCACGCACGCACGCACGCACGCACGCACGCACGCACGCACGCACGCACGCACGCACGCACGCACGCACGCACGCACGCACGCACGCACGCACGCACGCACGCACGCACGCACAAAAGAGTGGTACACTTATATATCTTAAACAATATGTGCAAGTCTTTTATTTTAATTACAGAATGCAACTTTAAGGTTATTTTTCTCTCTCCTGTTTTAAAATATCACCTATAATTAATTTATTGTCATTTATATATTTGGCAATTTTTACTATCTAATAATAAAATATAGGTAAGCACACTGTGAGGTTTCAAGAATTCAGAGAGAAAGTATTCGAGCAGAGCTGCATACTTTTTATGCATCTCTTTAATGCTGTTCTTTTTAATAAATACAAGTAGGTTATTATTTTTATTAATATCCATATTATATAGAGACGTTACGTATAACAGTAGTACATATATAAATGTGATAATGCGATTAATAACATTATACAACAATTATTTACCTCTTCTTCTCATAGAAGGATGATAATTCGATATTGATAATTACTTTAAATCGGTCATTTATATTTGTAGAAATACGCTTAATATTTTTATTCTTTAATAAAGTTTGCAGCTTGCTTGAATCTTAATCTCGAGATTGTTCGACCAGTCTCTAGTTTGTAATATTATAGGCACTGGGTCTCAACTAAGAACCTCAGCCTTAACAACAGTATTTTAAAACAATCTATAATATTGTAAGTAACAGCCTTTCTTGAAGAAGCCCTTCTTGTGTAAAATCTTTCTTATGACGAATAAGATGTCTATCGAAAAGAAAGCTCAAGAGCTTTACGTTGTCAGTTGGGTAATTTGCAATTTATTCAGTAATCGTGACATTCGTACAGTTAAATGAAAAATGAGTTAAATTATTTTGCTACAAAATCTTAATTGTTTATGTTATATGAATATGTTAATCATAATGATTTACGTAATATGAACAAATAAGAATTAATAATGTGTTTGATTATTTCCAATACTATAATACTAAAATACTAATAATACTAAAAATTTTGTTTGAAACTAATAATTCGATCGTGAAAATTGACATATTTAGTTTTCGTTTTAACTGTATCAATTATAACCAAAGTAAAATGTATACACACACAGAGGGTGGGGCATCTAAAACAAAACACCGGAACATGTTAAAAATTAAATCCGGTGAGCAAAAATGTTTCAAACAAAAATTATTATATATAAGAAATGGGCAAATAATGAAAATAAAATCAATTTTCCAAATAATCGATTTTTCACATGAAAGTTACATGAAGCTCACTTTCACTTTTTTAAATAAAGTAATACAATTTTTTTACATAATATGATTTCTCTAATTATTCTGTATATAAAAGTTAAGATACAGTTATTGAAAAAATCGATGCTTTACGAAATATTTTATTTGTTTTCATCATGCCACATTTTGATAAAATATGAAATATTTTGTAAATTGTGGATTTCTTGATTATTATGTATCTTCTTTTATGCATAGTTACATAATTTTGGTTGAAATTATATAATTTTTGTTTGAAACATTAACTTATTGGGTTTAGTTTTCGACATATTCCAGTGTTTTGTTTTAGATGCCTCATTCTGTATAAAGTGTTCTATCGAAGGTTTACATATTATAAACCTTTATTTTGTTCAATTAAAACATAAAAAAGTAAAATTAAATAAGATTTGTAATAAAATTGTTATTTTTAATTATAAAACTGTAATTTTTATTATTATGTCACTCCATTGATAGAGAAATGATACATTTTAAAATTAGTAACTTTTCAAAGCTTTTTAGAATATTTTTAAAATTCTCATTTGGAATAACGTTTAATTAGGATAGTAAATACGCTTAGATATTGAATTTTTTTCTTTCCATGTTATACTTTCAATATCATAATATATTTTTTAAAATTATGAATTTTCAAAATTCGAATACTGTTTAATATAATCTAAATTCATACTTTATCAAGATCAACATTTTTTCATGTAAACATAACAGCTATAAATGTTTTTTCACGAAAATTCGTCTTTAAAAAGAATCGTTTTTCTTTTATTATTACAAAAATGCTAATTTTTTTATTTGTGTCACTTTTCTGTCAATGAAGCGATATATTTAAACAACTATATTGAATTAAATTTTAAAAAGAAATCAAATATTTATTTTATATTTAACAATGAGATTTTAATTTTAAAAGCTTTTAACTTCTCGCATTATTAACACGAAATTTCTGCTAAGAAATAAAATATAAATTATCTATACATACATCTACTACAGCCATCATGATAACGAATACACTTAGAAATATTTTCACATAACATCTTAATATAATGTGATAACTAATAAAAAAATGTTTTTCGTGTTGATTAGTGTTTATTAAAATTTATCAAAAAATTTAAGAGTAATTGGGGATCAAAGATATGTATTATGTATATAAGTATGTGATATGTTTGCGAATTTCATGTGTTCGTGTGTGTAGGTAATAATATGTATGTGCACATAAATATGTGGTATATTCAAATATATAAGTATAAAGTTTTCCCGGCCAGAACCGTTATTTAAATATTAAATTAATAGTATATAATAGTTATATCCAATTTTTTCGCATTTATGTCTTTTATATGAACTACAAAAGCTGAAAGTGATTATTTTTTTCAGCGTGAGAGCTATGGAATAAGCCACACAAATAGTCGTCCTACGCAGTTTCAATTGTTTTTCATAAGATTACAAGAAACTTTTACATTTATTGTCATTAAGATACATTCTTTAACCCTTAATTGTTTGACCAAAATTCATTTTTACAGTGTTGCATTGTTGCTTATAAGGAGTGGCAAAATTGCAAAGTTAAATAAATGTTTAGAATTATTTTATAAGTAAAATATTGAAAGAAATATAGGATAAATTTACGTTATCCTTATTACGTTATTCTTACTTGCATAATAATGCATGTAAGCATTTAAACATTTAAGGGTTCAGATGTAACATTGCTTGCACGTACAACTAGCATCAGTTATATTCACAAAAAGCTTTTGTCTCTTAATCTCATTTTATAAGAGGTCAGAAATAATCTTTTCCTATATTTTTTTTCTTTTTCTTTAACACAATTTATATAGTTGTGTATTTGTATTAAGAACACAGAAGTATTGTACGCACAAACCTTTTCTTAAGAATAATTATTGTCTTTCCTTTCCAGTACACATCAGCATAATATAATAAATTCTTGCTGGATTATTATCGAAGAATACACTAGAGTTTCTTACATTAAGTTAATGTACAATGTCAAAATTTGTTAGATATATAAGTCTTACTAATTTATTGTCCAAGTATTGTTTTTATATATTTAGGAAGAAGCGGGGATGCGACATTGTATTTGGCACAATTGCGAATATTCACATGCAAACATCCCCGAGAATATTTTGTCAAATTTAAATCAAATTTCGAACGTATACAGCAAATATCTTTCTTTCAGCCAAAGACGAACTAATAAAAATAAAACACATATTTTACAAAATTAAGCTAGAAAAACAATCAAAATTAATAAATTATATTATTTATATTAGTTTTACTCTACATTTACGTAAATTATTTTTAAATAATGAATATGTAACATAGAAACAATATTAACAAAATAAAATGTGTAACATGATCTTAAATAGAGTAATTACTACCCGTGCATAGTTTCACTTAATATAATATCAAATATCTGATGATTTTTTAGTGACGTTTTCGGAGTATTAAAATTCTGCACGTGGAAGCTGCAAATGTGATTCAGTCTATGTAACTGTGTATTGAATTGCATTTATTTGCGTTTTGAATTTTTTCGCAATGTATTTGACTTTCGATTTTCTGGTATCTACTGCATACTTTTGAAATCTGATTTAATATTTTGAACAAACAGCGCCTTATTTAACAAAAAATGTAAGAGTTATTTTTTTGTGTAGAAAGGAAAAGTCGAATGATTTATACTTTTTTGTAAAATTAAATACATTTCGGTATTTTACTTTAAGTGACTGAATAGGTTTTTATCATCTTTAACATATACAAGTCAGATTTCGAGAGAAGAAAGAGAGAGAGAGAGAGAGAGAGAGAGAGAGAGAGAGAGAGAGAGAGAGAGAGAGAGAGAG